AACGATGATCAAATCGAATTAAAAAATATATATTCTTGACCACCTTTTCAAGCTCTATCAAACCATATATGAAAGAACAAAAAAAAAAATTCACTGAAATTTTGCCCTTTGCCGACCTTATAAAAACCAAAAATACTTGTTATAATGATATATGTTTACTTTCGAATCTAAAAATTTCAGATTAGCAGCGAGTACCAACTACATAACCCAAACGTAAAAAAAATCTAGTATTGCCCGATTCATCTAGATTACTAGATTTTTACTCGATTCCAACTATTGGGTAACGACAGTGGAAATTTAGTAATCGGGCGATTGCTAGATTTCTTCTAGTTGCAACTATCGATTTATCGCCCGATAATCGATCGATTTAACTATTGCTAGTTACACATGCAGACGCATCTAGTTAAAAGTCCGTTTTCCACCTAGTAATCCAGATGACAACTAGTCGTGTATCACTCAATTACAGACGAAATCTATCTAGATTTGTCTCATAGATGATCTTTACTTGCGAGATTTCTTTGAAAACAGTCGAATATTTAGTGAGTTAACAGTTAATCTTAACTTTTTGAGAAAGTAAGGAGTGATTTGGTTCGAATACTGTAATATTATTAACTAGCTTCGATTTTACAAATATTATAAGAAAAGTAGCTATTGAGCTAGGTTCATTTTTCTGTCGAGGCATATTTTGTCTTAGCTGTGTTTTTTTTATTTAATAAAGTTAGAAAAGTAACATCACAGTTGTTTCTTCTATATTAAGAACGATATATTCCCTAGAGAACGTACCTGGGGCCAAGTACTTCGTCTGCGTAATGAAGCCGGTACTTGCCTTTTTTCAAGAAGTAAATTTACTTGTAAGTGCTTGCCAAGTACTTTCAGCAATAAGGCAAGTATTTCGATCACTGACAAGTACTTAGCAAGTAATCAAGTACGTCCTCTAGGGTTTGGTCAATAAGAATATTGGCATTGAGAAGATAAATAAGAGATTTGTCTGTGTGAAGGGAATATTGTGCTACAAAGGACGATAGGCCTTTATTTATGAATGAGTAAAATTTATCCAATTGAAGAAATATCTTTTTTATTCTTTTGTCAGTTAACGATGTTTGTTATATGTAGACCATATAAAGAAGAGAAGAGAAGAGAAAAAGATGTCAACTAGAAATTGTTTTGTTCTACCTATGTGAAGTAATATGGATGATGAAATGTCCTATTGAAACGATGACGAAACGGTCTACCTTATTTGTTGCTTTTTTCCCTTTGCAATTTCGTAATGATGATTTCCCACTATACAAAATTTGACACATCAGAGGTATGTAGGCATACGTGATGTAATTTCGCAATAATAACAAAAATAGAGAAAATTTTTTTAACTATTTAAACTGAGGCGAACAATTTTAGAACTTATTAAAACTTTTTTATTATCGAAGGAAAAGAAAACGAACAAATATTGTTAAATCTCAAAATGTGTATGTAAAGATTTAAAAAAAACTAACGTTTCGACGTTTTAAAGAACATGTGTTTATGGAAAATTGATCATCTAACAAATTCAATAGTCGTAATTAAAGCCACAATAAGCGAAATGAGAATATCACAGATATGAATTAAATATATCTAATAACAGAGTTTTTGTTTGTACATACAATATAGTTTACATAAAGAAAAATTTAGACATATTATATCGATTATTATATTATTATTTATTAAACCCCCGATATTTTAATCTACTATTCTAACTGTAAGTGTCAGTTTAATAATGATTATTCATATATTTTATGAAGACTTAGATATGAATGAACTTTAATACCATCTATTTTTTACCAGTTTTTTGAGAACGAAATAGTGCCTACCATCTTGCGACTAACCTCTCTCATAGATACCATTCGAATATTTACTTATTTGTTACTACGAGTAACAAATTGATATTAGTTTTCTCTATTTAACGTGTTGTCTTTCTTCATTGTTTATCCCTAAGAGATAAACCGAATCTATTTATTAAATAATTCATGTAAGATAATGTTTCTTTCGAATTATCAACGGTTTCTTTATCCTGAAATTAATAAAATTTGTCTTTCATTTCCATTTATAGATGTCATCGGAGTTGGATCCATCATTGTTTGGGAAAAGGGTACAACAGCAACAGTTTACGTCTATGGATGTAAGTTTGTGGTCATTTCATTGGTTTTACGAAAATTTATATAATATATATCGTATTTTTTTTGTTCATAGCCTAACAAGCATATGGCAAGTCTATTTGGTGACTATGATGAGAATGATGATGATTGGGATGAATTGTGTGATAAAGTACCAAAATCTCCATTTGTTTTAACTGGATTACCCCCCGAGGTGAGATCTATTTTTCTCTCGTTTTGTTTTCCATTGAATATGGACAATTTATATTGCTCCTAGATCGAAGAAGGAAATGTCGAATATAAATTAAAACTTGTGAATCCAAATCCAGGTAAGACATTTTTATTGTAGAGAAAATAATCTAATTTATTGTTTATTTCTATTATTTAGATAGATTCGAACATTTAGTAACTCAAATGAAATGGCGATTACAGGAGGGACAAGGTGAAGCTATCTACGAAATTGGTGTTGAAGATTGTGGTACATTGAGTGGTGTCAGTGCAGAAGAGTTAGATGCATCGTTAACAACACTGAATAAAATGGCCAATCGTTTAGGTGCATCGATTACAATTTTATATAAGCGAAATGTCGATAATGATCGGCAGGTTGTTGAAGTACTTGTGCGGAAAGTTCCGGATGATCAACATTTTATTGATCTAAGAGTGGCAGTACTAGGAAATGTAAATATTTTATTTTCTGTTTATTATGTTTAAATCACGTTTTTGCCTTATAATTTAGGTCGAAAGCGGAAAAAGTTCATTAGTTGGTAAGTGTAGATCTAGTTTAGGGCACTCGATAAATCAACAGTGTTTATTTTTCAATTAGGTGTTCTTACTCACGCTGAATTAGATAATGGTCGCGGTCGTGCAAGATTAAATCTATTTCGTCATTTACATGAAATTCAATCGGGTCGTACTAGTTCAATTACCCACGAAATATTGGGTTTTAATAATATGGGCGAAGTATGTTTCCATTTTGACATCCTATTTCATAAATTATTTTTTCTCATCCAATTTAGAGTGTTGATTATCATTCAGCTCGTACACCAAACGAAATATGTGATCGTTCATCGAAGATTATAACATTCATTGATTTGGCTGGTCATCACAAATATATGAAAACAACATTATTCGGTTTAGCTGCTCATTTACCAGATTTTGCTATGCTAGTTATTAATGGATCGACAGGTGTTGGTATGTTGATAATAGCTTAGTGAATTAATGTAACATTTAGAATATATATCGCATTTCTATTTTGTTTCAGTTGGTACAACTCGTGAACATTTTGGATATGCTTTGGCATTACAGGTGCCCGTATTTGTTGTAATTAATAAAATAGATCTTTGTTCAAAAGTATCTGTTCAACAAACGGTTGAATGTTTACGTTATTTGTTTCAACATACTGGAATAAACTTAGAACCATTTTTTGTTGAGACAGCTGATGATGTTGTACAAGCGGCAGATAAATTAGTTGAAAAAAGGTATATGAGTTTAACTTTCCTTTGTTGATTTTTATCATTTCTCTAATTTTGTTTCCTTGTTTACAGTATCTGTCCAATATTTGCGATATCATGTACAACAGGTGAAAATATTGATTTATTAAAGAAATTTCTTAATATACTACCGCCAAGGTTAAGTGTAATTGATCAAGAACGTCTCTCTAAATTACCTGTTGAATATCGCGTAAGTTCAGAAATAGATCCTAATTTTACTAACTATAATCAATAATATTATGATTCTCTATTTAGATTGATGAAATATTTTCTTCTGCACAGCCAGGCTCTGTAGTGGTTGGTGGTACATTGAGAAACGGTACAGTTCATGAAGGAGAAAATTATTTAGTTGGACCATTAAGCAATGGTGATTTTATACCAATTAAAGTAACAAAGATTCAACGATATCGTGTTCCAAGACGAATGGTTCGAGCAGGTCAATCGGCTTCACTAAGTATACCACATATTGAAGGTAGCAAACTACGAAAGGTAAATGAGCATTAATGTTTGAGTCTGTGATTATGTTAATTTTGTTTCTTTGTTATTCTCTAGGGTATGGTTATTGTCTCATCGACATCAAATCCAATAGCTTGTTATGATTTTGTGGCTGAAATTTATTTACTTCATCATGCAAATTCAATACAAAAAGGTTTTCAAGCCACTGTACATATTGAAAACGTTCGACAAACAGCGCAAATTATTGCTATGGATAAGGTAGTCTTGCTTGATGTGAATAAAGATGTCATATTTTTTTAATATGTTTTTATTTGATTATAGGATGAATTACGTATGAATGAACATGCCATAGTGACATTTCGATTTAAACTTCGATCTGAATACGTACCGGAAGGTAAGTTGATCTTTCTACCATTTTTATTCATACTATTTACATCCGAATCATTTCTTTTTTGCCATATTGAAGGTTCACAACTTATATTTCGTTCGGGTGAAACAAAAGGTGGTGGACGAGTGATACGAATTATACCATGTTAGGAAAAAAAACATTTATTACCGGTTCTTTCTTTTTTGTCTATAGATAGATATACCTGATTTTTTTATGAAATCAAATCTCAATCTCCATCTTCATGCACATATATTTGACATATTGCACATGTCTGCTAGACAATTAAGAGTTGAGTTTGATTTTGTCTATTTTCTAAGTTATTTTCTTCTTATGTGGAAAAAGTACTTTTTTTTCAAGTGTATGCATCTAATAAATATGCATTACTTTTTTAGATGCAACACGATATAAACTCTTTCTAACGAACTATTTTTTTCTCGTTTGTATAGTATACTTCTTTTGTTCAATTTATAAAGATAAAAAGAAAGTGTTATTTTTTTTTGTACATTTAATGTTTTTTAGAAAGTTATAAACAAAGAAAATAAAAATAACAACACCAAAAAATAGAGATTCTATAGAATGTTTCTCATTAACTCTAAGATTGCTCAACACAATTTAGAAAAAGAAACAATTCTTCACGTATGATTGCGAGAAAAGACTACTATTTTTTTGCTATGTAAAACTACCTAAATGCTAAGTTAATTCCTACTTTAGTAAGTTATATTTTTGTGTGACTGGGAGTGGTGAGGGGGCTGCGTGGAGAGCATGAGAGTGAGCCAATAGACCACATTTCTGCTTGTTTTTCAAAAAATTTAATAAATTACTTAGAAAAAAAATAACTTTTTACTTAGCATTTAATAAAAACTACTTAGCATTTGAATGAGAGCCTAATATTTTTCAAAAACTAGGTAATTTTATGCATTGAATGTGTCTTAATGTATCATTTTTGAATAGAACGATACGAACATTTTGTATCTCGTCAACAGTTCTATTAAATTTGATGAATCCTGATTACTGGCACCTATTCGTTATATGAAAATCGATTATTTATTCAATAAATAGATATTTCATAGAATGAAGATGAATAGGTGCAATTGTTTGTCAGAAATGACATGCACGATACACCATTGCAAGTTAATTGTACAATGAGTTGAGAAAATTGCGAGTATCTTTTCCGATGGTGCCCGGTACGTTAACTTTTGCTTTTTAACCATACAATGCTCAAAATGTTTTATTGAAATGACAGATACCAGAGAAAATATTTTTTTTCTAATAAATCTTTAAAAGGTCTCATTTTATTGAGAATTTAATGTTTGAACTAGACAAAGAGCAAAATGAAGAAAGCAAATATTAAGTACCAATATTCTCTAGATGAAATTGTTGTCAAAAAAATTAACTTTTTTGTTAAAAAAAAAACCTACACAAATAAAATTTACAAATAAGTTTTTACATCTGTAAAAAGCTCATTGATAAAATTGTTTTGAAAACGTTTGCCAATGCTAATTACAGTAAGGAATACTGTTAGTTAAAAACGAGCTTTACATTCGTCTAATTTTATTTATCGTTTTTGTATTTTTACTCTATTTTCTTTTTCAGATCTTCACATTTTAATACTTCTTACTTCTATTCACTTTCATAATCAAACATGAATTAACTTCTTTCAAAGAAAAGATGTTACGCTCGCCAGCTGAACTTTTATTCGAAAAATTGAGCGGTATTGTATGCTTATTCAAACCAGCTGATATGAGATTGCAAAATTTTTTACCTATTGTTCAAGCACGATTAGCTACAGGTAATGTTTATTAATACTGAAATTTTTCTATTCTCGATAAAAAAACACAAAAAAAATAACAATTAATATTTGTTAAATTTAGCATTTAATGATATGCCATGCCGACCACCAGATCAACGTGTCGATATTATTTGTGATACGAGAACAGGAAAAGAACTTGTTAAAACATCACTGGATTTAGCCGATACGGTACAAGGTTAAACTTTTTATATACAAATTGTTCAGAAATTGTATAAACGATACTTTTTGCTTTTTTACAGCATTAGGTCCACGATATTTAGCTGAAGATTTTGAATTTACTTCAATATTACCATTGAGAAGATTCTCATCGGGAGTACAAAGTACTAATAATTGTGACAAAACTTTCATTGTAGTTATTATGATGTACGATGTTTATTTTAGTACTAGCAATCAATGATAACTCTAGAAAACTCAAAGATATCGAAGATGGTCAGCCAATTCGAGTAAGTGTTATTTATTTAAAAAATAAGACCACAACGAAATAAATATGTTTAAATGACGAAAAATTTATTTTCTAGTACAATTATTTACTAGTTATTATTTTATTTTTATTTTCTAGTCTTATCTCTTAAAGGGAAAATTTGGTGAATCAACAGACACACTTGATGCTAATGGTGTTATTGTAGAAAAAAGTCGATACAGTATGTCAAAAATGATTAACAACATTAAAAATAAGAGAGAGAGAGACAGGAAAATTGGATTGCAATTAATAGAATTATGTGTGCACTCGTTTATAGCTTTATCTCATTCTTTTTAATATCAAATAATGTCCTGTACTCTTTTTTCTTTTAACCATCTATTCAATACTCTAAAAACAAACTAATAGGAGATCCACGCGAAAATAAACTAATAAACCATAAGAAATTATGTCAAAAAAGTTTTTGTCTCAATCTATTTAGAACACATTTCAACATCAAAAATCGAACAAGTATTGGCTTTGATTCAAAATAGTTTTCAAGCAACTATGTATAAGTAAGAAATTGATGATAAAATATTTTATTCTAGTTTAATGACAATAATATTCATTCAAATATTTAGATTGTCCGGTATTTCACCTTTTACACAAGCTGGTTATGATTTAGCCAAAGTTGGTTTATGGAAACCACGTGATCACACTTTACCACCAATTGTCTACGGATTAAAATTACTTGAATATAAACCTCCTTATTTTAAAATAGGTAGGTGTTCTATCATTCATCTAAAGTTTCATATTTATATAGGAATGATTCCTTTTTTTCTTTTTATAGAAATTCATGCATTGAATGAAGACGAAATACATTTGAAAGAAGTTGTTGTTGATATTGGTGTACGTTTAAGAACAAGTTCAGTGTCAGAATCTGTTCGACGTACAAATATTGGACCATTTAAAGTTGAACATGCATTATCATTAGATGAAATAACACCCGAGACATTATTAGAAAATATGAAAAATAGTGAACGATTAATAGAAGAAGCAAATTTATTGGACAAAACTATACTCATTGGTAAAAGTCATAATGAAGAAGTGAAAATAGTTGGACGAAAACCATACGATAATGTTACGGATATATATCAGACAAAAAAGAGTGCTTATAAAACATCGGAACAAATGGATTTGTAATAGTTATTTTAGAAATAAAGTTTATATTTCGATGCTCGTTAATACACAATTTCCAGGTCAGTAGCTATAGAATTTTGGCTATAATCTAAGCTATAAAACAAAAATAATTATTATAGTTTTTCACTTTTTTTTCAATAAGATGTTTAACTTGGTAACTGAGAATTTCATCCTACAGTATGATATTAGACTATTACTTTATTAAAAAATCAAACTGTATACAAAAGTGAAAATATCTTATTATTGATACGGAAATTTGAATCATCGAGTAATATAGTTAATAAACTTTGATATTTTTTAATAAAAATATTTGTTTTAAACTTTTCTATGTATTGATCTAGTAGTTTTAATTCATTTTTGAGTAATGTACAAATATATTCTTTGTCATATTCAAATAATTTGATGTATTGAATCAATAATAGAAGAATTACTCGTCTATATATCCATAATGATTCTCTATCAATATAATATTCTAATTGTGTTTCATTTAATTTCCATTCTTTAAATAATAATTCTTTTACGTATTTTTTATCATTTGATTGCATTATTGTAGCTACTAGATATGTTCTATATGAATAACCACTATAATCAGATATATTTATTTCTAACCATGTTTGATTTCTTATGAGTTCATTTTCATATAAATTAAAATTATTTTCTTTACAATAATTTATAAACCATCGACGATGTTGCCATGATGCATAATTTAAACGATGTTTTTCAGCTGTTTTATCACATAATATTAATTCATCTTCTTTTATATTAGTAGTCCAAAATAATGATACTAATAATGTAGAAAATTTTTTAAATATCCAACGACGATGACGAAATATTTGTTCAGATTTTGGATACATTTGTAGTATAAATTGTGTTAATTGTAATTCAGATTTTACTTTATTATTATTAATTAATAATAATCGTTTACGTATATTCCAACATGTTAAACATTCTGAAAGATAACATAATAGAACACGTGTCGTTTTTTCCATTATTATCAAATTATCTTTTAATTGATTAAAAAATATAATTTTATAGCAATCATTTACTACGGATTTCATTTCATATGAATTTAAACATAAATATTTTTCTTCTTCACATGTACAATATACATGTTTATCATTGTTATTGATTTCATCTAAATTTTCGGTATTAATTGAATTCAAATAGATTTTAGACGATAATGGAAGAATTTCATATTGTTCACATTGTTCAAGACAAGAAGATAGTAGTGATATTAATGGCCAATTTTCCATTATATATATATATTTTTTGTTTTGTCTTAAAAAGAAAATCATTTTTTAACAAATTTTACTATAAGAAACTTATTTTTAACCGTCTCTAAAACTTGATGGGAAATGAAAAATTCAAAAATTTGATCTATTTTTTTATCACTTTGTAAACATTGAGTACTTACCGCTACATTTTGTTTTAGGTCGTCCCGTTTTTTTGTCGAAAAATGAGCTCGAATGATGATCCTTTTTTCAACTACAAGAGTCTCTGAGCATTTGAACAATGCAGGTGAGAGGACTGAAAGAAAATAAATTTTCTACCCTAATTGATTTGTGTACTCTTTGTCAACTAGAAAAGTAAGCATCTATGATGGATAAATAGTTAATCATTAAACTAGATGATTTTTGAAAAAACTAGAAACTTTGTAAAAGTGATTTATAAGACCATAAAGAGTGAAATAAACTTACGTGAATTACTTTTAAACAACAAAAAAATATCCTTAACTTATTTAGAAGGGGTTTTTGACCGCTAGCTAATAAAATTAAATCGGGTAGCATAAAAGCTTAGATCAGACCTCTGGGTCAATCCGATTAGAAGTTTTCGGGCCAAGTCCTTGTATGGCAAAAGATCACTTTTATCGTACTTTAATCAATCATAGTCTGCACAGAATGAGAATTACTGAGGCTACACGGGCAACCTCTGAGATCGTGGGAAAAAAGTTACAGTGAGAGAAACAATACAAAAATCTTTTCTTTCTTCTTCCCACCCCATTCCTCTTTCTTTTATCAAACTCTGTTCTTCGGCAACTGATATCATGAAAGATATTTTTTGTTACGATTTTTAGATTTTTCTCACCATATGTCTATCTGTTTTACAGTTGTTCATGTTCATCGAATTTCTATTCTATCCGTCTGTGTTCGTGAATACCAAAAACAGATACCGTAGTCGCATAATTCTCTATTAGTACGTCTTTTTTCACTTTTTTCACTTTAGTTTAGTCTCACAACAAAATAATTTCTTAGATAAACAAAAATAAATAAATTTTTAACTTGATCTTATAAGTAGCACAAAAAAATATTAAAAAAAAGGAAGACAATAGCGAAGATCTGATTTGTACATCTTGGTTAACATACACATTTTCTTCTACTGTCTGAGATACAGTGAAAGAATAAAATAAGAACAAAATAGTGTTTATCACTGGATCATATCACATTTAAAAAGAAGATAGCACAAAAAAAACCAAAATCTTCATTTTGCCCTTATTTGTACATATAAACTCGTGAGAAACATCTAACTCCCCGCATGAAATGTTTTTTCAAAACAGAATAATAAAATGGCAAACTGTACAAGAAAAATATAATATGCCAAATATCATATACACACAAAATGCATCATTCTTTTCGATTTATTGAAATTTTCATCAAAAAATAATTTCATTGAAAATAAGTTTTTCGAAAACTTTTTTACTTTAGTACAGTATGATAGATTGTGTGTGTCATTTTCTGTTTTAAGATCTCTTCTGCGTACTACTAGAACAAAGAATGTCCTACAACTCTCTCCTTTCACACTTATTTCTCCACTATACTGAAGTAAAAAAAAATTCGTAATATCTTCTTTTCAAACATCAGTGAAAAACAAAAAGTAACAAAAAAAGAACAAACAAACGAAGTCTTTCATTTTGTAAAACGGTTGTTTTGTTCGGACAATCTATTCATCGCTCATTTTTATGACTTCTGTAAATTCTTGTCGACATTTTGGACCTAAAATACTCAAATAGAGTGTGTAAATTAAGACTATTATATCTAAAAAGAGTTTTAAATTGAAAAAGAAACTATTTTTGATCTAAAAATGATATTTGTTTAATAAAAACAATAAACTCACAAATTTTCTCTTTATATTTGTCTCGACATTCAACACAAAACGTTAAATGACCACATGGTATTAAAACACAAGTCACTTTTCTTTCACAACAAATTGGACATAAATCCGAATCATCAATTTCACCATCAATCATTCTTGCTTGTTTTGCTGGATCATCAATGATATTCATTAAATTTTCTGCCACAAGTCCAATTAATGATAAACTTGTTATACGACCATTCATAAAAAAAAATGGATATAATGTTTGAGTTTTATCAGCAAATACAATTGTCTTTTTACTATCAGGTTTATTATTTTTTTCTAATATAATTTCACCCGTATCTGTATCATATGCTATTTTATATTCATCTAATTCATGTAATTGTTCATCAAATACATTATCAAATAATAGCCAATATTCTTTACGATCTAATAATGAATTTGGATCTGATGGTAATGTTTCAAGACGATTTTCAAACATAGACGGATTAACATTTGTTAAACCAAAATAGCCCGATGTACGATAAACAGGATCAACTGATAGTAGACGAAAATAAAATTCATCACTTGGACCAATGGCAAAATTAACAAATAAATATGGACGTATTAAACGATTACAACGTTTACGCAATGCTAATTTATATTCACAACTAGAAAAATAAAATAATAAATTAATCAAAATATTTTTTGAACAAAAATAACGATTCTACTTACTATAATTCAATTTCTGGTCCATGTACACTACTAAATGTTAACGGTTTTAATGATGATATATTTAAATCTTTATAATATTTTAATTCTAATTTATCTGGTTTTTGATTATATTTTTCAAATAATGATCGTCCATCATCCAATATTTTTGGTGCTACTGTAAATGTACAACCTAAAAATAAAATGTTTTTTTGATAAAATATACGTTTCAACGAATATAATTTACGTTATAAACCTTTAACATTTCCATAAATATCAATTAATGCCCATATAGGTTTATTAATTTCGATATTTTTTGAAATTTCTTGCTCTTGTCCATCTAAAATATAGAATGCTCCATCCATATTATAAAAAAATGTTATTATTAAATGTTTTGATAATGTTTCATAAAGACGTTTTAACCAAGATTTTCCACTTGTTATCTGGCTGAGATTTGGTGATGCTGTTTTTGGTAAATCTTTTTGATTAATCAACGATGGATCAACTTGTGTAAAACCTAATAAAGAAGAAAATAAATAGTGAGATAGATTTGAATACGAATTATTTGAAATATATATTTACCAATTGCCAATGAACCACACCATTGTTTCGTTTCATCAATATCAACAATTTTAATATAGACACGTTCATTGATTTGAACCGGTTTACTTGAAAATGTAATACCTAAAATGATGTATTTTAAATATAGAAGAAAATAATGTAGAATCTGTCGATGATTAAGAGAAACATTTCTTTAAATTCAAAAATCGACGAATTATGCATTTTATTACTATTTTTTCATAGAAACAATAATGTAACAATGTGACAGTAGTACACCAGTAACACTAGTTACTACTAACCATAAAAAAAAAGTCATACAGCTTTTTAGAAAAATGCTGTTTCTATTTAAGCCTAATTAATACTGAGTTTGAATAGTCATATTTATTCATCTTAACGATTTAGGACAATGAAACGAGAAGAGATGAACTTCTATATCTGATATACTAATTACATGATTTTTTTTTCTTCATAAAAGGACTTTGTTTTTTATCTTCAAATTTCCTAGTATAAGTAGGAATCAGAATATTTCTAATGAATAAATTAATTAAATGCAAGAGTGATGCATCTCAATGTAATATAACTTCATTATCCAAGAATATTATAATTTAATCTATGACTGACATGGATTTTTGATAACTTTGTTCTATTTTAATTATAAAATATGATATAAAATTTAATAATACCTCAAGCTAAACATTTGTATATTTTATTTAAAAAAAATATGCTTTCATCACTTCTATTGTAACTATTTAGTCTTTCATCGTCCGTATTTCTGCATTACTTGTTTTGTTTTAAACGATTTTTCTATTGTTCATTGTTTATAAAAATTAAAGGAGTTTAAATCCTATTTCGATAACTTCACTAATTATTATTTAATAGAAATTTGTTTAAGTATTGTTGTACTATAAACACTAGTTGAATGATTATAATCATCAGCAGAATTGCCACCTTTGGAAATTTGAAAAGCGGAAAAGAAATCGGAAAAAAGTGAGAAGATTTTTTTAAAGAAAAGTGAGAAAAAATAGAAAGACAATCCTAATCAGTAGCACATCTTTGTAGTGAATATTTTTTTAAATGTAAAATTGATTGACTGTTTACGATATTGTTCAAGAGATTTTCTATTTCTTTCGATTATTCTCGTATTATTAAAACTATATAATAGTTTCTTCGTTCTCCATAACATTTTCAATTACTTTAGCATTCTGAACAGCAATTACTGTTGCTAATGTGACTGCTTTTTTTGAAACTTGAAAAAAGTCTTTCATATTGATATTTGCATGTTTTAACATGAAAGGTTAATTATTACAAGATTTATGATGAGAACTTTTCCTAGAAAACGCAAATACTTCGTCTGCGTAATGAAGCCGGTACTTGCCTTTTTTCCAGAAGTAAATTTACTTGCAAGTACTTATCCTTACTTGCCAAGTACTTTCAGAAAGTACTTCTTAGCAATAAGGCAAGTATTTTGATCATTGACAAGTACTTAGCAAGTAATCAAGTGCTTGCATCAAGTACGTTCTCTAGGGATTAGCTTTATCTTTTTAAATAGATCAGAACAACAGAAATACGAACAATTTTACTTGAATACTTATCAATTATCTCACTATATTAAGTAGGGCGTAATTAATATCGACTAAAAGTAGAAATACCTAGGAGAGACAGTAAAAATGTAAAAAGAAATAACTAACAAAGAACGGTATAAAAAGTGATACTCGAATGGAATAGAGTAAATAAAAAAAGTTTTTGAAAGCCTTTTGACAATTTGAACTTCTCATGGGTTTTCCAAAAATTTTCCCGAGCCATTGTCGGTGTACAGACATAGATTTTATACCTACGTTAAAAGGTATACTCTATTTAAGGAATTGTCATAGTTACTCACCATTATCAAAACTGCTGAAACGCTTGGCGTGTGCACCATTATTTTCAATACGAATGTTCTGACCAAACGTTTGTGAATGAAACTGGAAAGTTGATGACTGCAATTCAGCCATCGTGGATATTAATCTAGAAAACATATATGAATGAGAAAAGTAAAGTGAGAAAAAACCTTTTTTTATAGATAAATAATCGAGATATAAGCAGCCATAATGGAAGAAGAAAATACTTTTGCCTTTGCTCACAGTTTTCAATCAGTGTTCAATTCATCTCTTCGCGTTTTGAGTGGAAGTCCTTATCCTCTTTACCGATCAATCAAATAAAACTGCCTTTTCATTTCATTTTTCAAACTAATACTAGACTTGAGAAATGGCGAATAATCTCAATTTCTGCTCATTACAGTGTTATTCATATTCTATACTTTAATAGGCACGTCAATCGCTAAACGTTTGCTACTAGAATAAACTATCAAAATTAGTAATGCGCTTTTCTTCTTTATCACCATTTAAACGAGTTCTATCTCAACTTCTTTTATAATAAAAATTTAACCGTACTTCTAGTTGACTCGTATTAGTCTCCTTTGTTGTTGTTTTTTTTTATTTTTATATTTATTTTGTCGCTTACTTCGTTTGCCTCTGTCCTATACTCTAGTTTTCTTTTGTCTTTTTATTACTCTTTCTTAGTTGTTCGGCTTCAGTCGTACTTCTTATAAGTTGGTTGGTATCCTCTCTCACTTTTCGTGAATAAATAACATAATTCCAGAGAGTGACTTTTTAACACGGTTAGATGTGAGACCTAATTTCATCAAGTCATGTTTCATAATTCGTCTGTTCAACATAATTTCACATGACGTACTTGACTTTTGTTTTCTTTCCTAATCTTCGTTAACAAACCGAGTTGTAAAACATCGTTTAGATAGTTAACAAGATTGACCGGTAGTGAAAGATCACGGACCATCTTCACGAGGAAATCTTCATGAGAAAATAAACAGTGTATGAACTATCTCATTTGCTGATAAGTACAGGAAGGTGCTACCCTTAATTTAAAGTTTAAACAACTTAAAAAGATGTTTAAATTGGTTTAATCAAGCACACTAATAATTAATTTGCTAAATCGAAATTTTAAACCAGATTAATATAATAAACTGGTTGTTGTTGTTGTTGTTGTACAGGGGGAAAGAAAAACAATTGAGATAAAATAAGGTGAGACACGATTGGCTTTTTCCAACACCCAATAGTATAACAAATGTCACTGAGGTGAATAACGCACAGTTTAATTAAAATTGTCGATTTAATATAAAAAGTACTATTTTACGATCGTGAAAAAAAGAAAACATAATTTAGATTCACTATGGATTCAAACGTTCGCTGAGAAATTTATCATAGCAACCAACTGAGAACATTAAAAGAGGAACAGATTTAGAATCACATCAGTGCAATGACAATGGCAAAATCTCATTCCATTGGTCTGTTCTCTACATAGTGAAACTCAGTCATCATATACTTACTCAAGCACATACATTGTTCACAGATAATTGACGTGCCGCATTTGATTATTCAGTAATAATCAAAGGTAGAGATTGAATCAATTAATTAATGAAAAGTAATCCAAACCTTTGGGTTTGAGTCTTTATATACTTTTTTATGTTATTTTGGAGGACTGTGTTTGTAATAACAAAGCGTATCTATTTAGGGAAAACATATATACGGTTCGAAAATTGCAAATACATTTTGTTTCACACTTTACTTTTTCTGTATCTTAAGCTACATTTAAAGTTACGATTGCAATCGAAAAAATAAGTGAATGTAATCTGTATGTACGAGATGTGACTTTTTTTTATTTGTAATCTGTTCATTTTAAAGTAATCGTTAAGTTTTTAAACAGTCAGATGAGAATAAATGTATTTTTCTCGTTATACAAGAGCTGTAATTTGTTTTCTCTTGTGATTTTGTATGTATATAAATTTTTTTTAAAAAAAATTAATAGGTGTGAGAATTTTTATATACAGCAAAAGTCAGACACCTCCTTTTTGCTTTGATTATTAAAGTGCGTATAACGTAGGTTGAATCTAAATTATTTTTCTTTTTAAATACTTTTTTGAGAAAGAAGATATAATCATCGATGAAAATAGTATTTTAAGTTTTGACTGTTTTCTTTCTTGTTGGTCACTGATCACATCTGCACTAATAATCTGAAATATTGCCATAGAGTAAAATGTAAATAAAGTTGAACAGCCGCCAGACTGTAACTTGATGCACTATATTATAAATGAGCGTCCGAATCTATGACTTAGTTCATCACTGAAAAAGAACTTTTACTCCTTTGCTCATGGATTTTGTCAAACTTCTAGTAGAAAATATGTTCTTTCGAGCAGAACAGGGAAAATGTAAGAACTGACAGCGATCATTTGCCTCCTTCATCAGGGACGTCCACGTTGTGATGGGACATATTTTTCTTTCTCCAAAGAGTGGAGCCAAACTCAAAGCTTTTCAGTTTAGACTCTATATTTTTCTTGGATTTTATATTTGAGTTTTATTGTTCGTATGATACAATGCCTGTTGTTGGTATTGCCTATTTACCGCATGGAGCAATGATATTAGATCCAGATCGGCAAGATGTTCCAAAAGGCGCGGAATCACTTCATTCGACATGTATGCAAATAAGTGAACAAATTGCGTCTTTAAATCCTGATCTTCTTTTATTGTCCACTCCTCATGGTTTGAATCTACATCAGGCACTAAATATTTATCAACCTGGAGTATTTGGTTGTAAAGCAGCAGGTAATGCTGAGTGGAATAATAAATGGCAAGAATATTCTGTCGAAGTAGACTTAGATGCAGAAAACAGTTTGGATTTATATTTTCATCTACGAAAAGAAAAACGGGTAAAACCAGATCAGTTACCAAGTATTGAAGGTAGAAGAAGAACAACAACATGAGAAAAAATTAAACAGTATTGAAAAATATTATATTGTAGGAATGTTAGCCTTTGGCGGCTTAAGTATAAGTTTGAGATGGGGAGAGGTAATTCCATTATATTTTGCTCTTCATCACTTAGCAGTAAAAGAAAAACAACAACCAATAAAACCATATCTACATCATGTCTCAACAAAACATGGGCCAAAAGTGGTGATTATAGCACAACCCAAGTTAGGATTGACAAGTAAGTGTAAAAAAGCACTTTATTTATAATTACTTTCTATAAACTTCATTTTCTTTTCTTTCTATCTTTAGCCGATGATCAGAAGTTTTATCGACAACAACAAAAAACGTTATTACTTCAATTAGGTCAATCTATTCGCTCGTGGTGTGATTCTTCTACTCGTCGTATAGTTGTAATAATTAGTGGTGATCAATCACATACTCATCCTTGGTCATCAGATTCACAACTGTTACCAATTATTTATCAACCTGACCCATCGGCACACTCCATTTCTCCAATGGAAGGAAATGAATATGCTCAATCATTTGATCAAACTATTAATGACTGGATTACGGGAAATAATTCGAGTGAATTATACAGTTTAGATGCTAGTTTGTTAGTAGAACAAGCTGGAGAAAAAGAGCACCTTGCAAGAAGTTGTGGCTACACTGGTTCATTGATGATGCAAGGTCTAATGCGTAATGATACTATCCAATCTATCCGATCTAATTTCAAATCGTCATCTGCTAAATGGTTGTTAACTGATTTTTGTTCTTGTCATCCAACATATTACGGAATGATGGCTGCATTTTACTTAAGAAATAATTCATAATATTGATTTTTTTCCAGTTCGTATAGCATATGTGATTCGTCATAAAGAAGTGTCCACCAATCTGTGAATTTTTCTTAATTAATCTAGATGTCTGCTTTTCTATTATGTTGCTCAAACGTTTTTTGGTATATACTTTGTAACTTTTTTTGGCTTCTATTTTTTTTCTTTATCATACTACAGGAGAGATAAATCCTACAATACATGGAAAGACTTCTTTCATTCAACAATATCTTGTTTTAGCGTTTGTTTTTCTTTTTCAGATAGAATCTGTAATAGAACTGCTCTAAAACAATGGCCACAAATGCATTTCAACCTGCACAGGGCGGCACAAGTCGTGGTGAAAGTGATTTAAGTGGGCAGTCAAAACAATACTCATCGCGTGATATGCCCAGTCATAAAACATTAAAATATCGTGAAAAAGGGCAAAATACACAAGATGAAATACGACAAAAAGATTTTCGTCGTGAATTAGAAGATCGCGAACGAACCGTAAGAGACAAACAACCACAACAACGTACATCCGATTCAAAGCGTCTACAAAGTAGTAGTAGTGATGATCGAAAACGTTCATCATTACGGTCAAATAATGAATTACAATCAATACAGTCAAATTTAGATGCTGATGATCCGCTAGATGAATCAAGTGACGATGACGATAATGGAATTACTAATAACAAACAAAGAAATAGAAATAATAATAATGATACACAAGATGATGACGATGATGACGAAGATGAAGACGATACAGAAGAATTAATGGTAAGAAAATCGTTTATCATGATCGATTTTTCTTTCACTTGATCGTTATTTTTTTGTAGGCTGAATTGAATCGTATTAAAAAAGAACGGGCAGTAGAAGTAGCTAAACTAGAACAAGAAAGACGTGTGGAAGAAGAAAGAATACGAACAGAAAATATTCTCAAAGGTAATCCATTATTAAATCCAAAGGCCGCACAACAATCGCAAGTATTATCAACAATAAATAGCAGTGAATTTCGTGTCAAACGACGATGGGATGATGATGTTGTATTCAAAAATTGTGCCAAAGCCGAAAATCTTAATAAACGATCACAATTTATTAATGATAGTTTAAGAAGTGAATTTCATAAGAAATTTATGGAAAAATATATCAAATGATCATGTTTATTGTTTTATAAATTTATTTGTTTTAGAAGATTTTTTTCTACCACACAATGAAATTGGACACGTTTTAAGTGTCAACTATTCTGAATAGGAGAGGATTATCATCTCCTTGTTTGGAGAACGCTACTCACAAATGACTATTTTGTTGACTTATTTTGTTGAAATGACTATTTTTAACAATGAAGCGAATGAAAGTTTTTCGCAAAATTTGTACAGTTATTCTAAAAAAAAAAAACGTCATCGCTAGAAAATTGATTTAAAAACACTGTTAAATTTCTCTTCTTTTTTTAAATCTTTATATAAAGCGTTTTAGCAAGAATTTTTCTGTGTTGATACATAGAGAGAGAGAGAGAGAGAGAGAGAGAGAGGGTAAGGTTAAAATATTTGTTGAAGTTGTCTAGAGTAAACATTTTTTTTCGTATCGTCTTATGTTGTCTTGCTAAAACTGAAAGAATACAAGAGAAAAATAGCATCATTAATAAACAAACGTGTTGTAGATGTTAGCTAATAATCCATACCATGTTGAAATGAATGAAGAAGAAGACGAAGAAGATACTATTCTTGAAACATGTTCACCTCCTCAATTATTGAAACATTTTTTTAAATTACAAAATCAACGTTGTCAGACATATAAACAGTTGAATAATGGTCAAAACTTTTTCATTCAAACAAATGATTTCAGATGGTTTCGATCATTACTTCTTGATATTACAACGATATTTAATCGTATATCGAGTGAAATAATCGATATTCGTAAATTATTTGAAAAAGAAAATCATTATACTTCTATTGTCAAACATATGGAACAGATACAAGATTATGAGAAAGATAAATTACAATTAACAAATGAATTATTTTTATGTCGAAAAGAATATGAAGATAGTAAAAAGGCAACAGCTGATAATAAAATTGTCGATTATGATGAAGAAATGAGGCAAACCGATATAATAGATAAGAAAAAGTCACAATTAGCAAAATTAATTGAAAATATAAATGATACACTTGAAGAATTGAAATATGAATACAGTGAACTTGTTGAAAATAAACAAATCGACTAAACATTAATATATTTTTCTTTACATAGTTCAAATATTTTTTTGAATAGAGTAAAGTCGACGTTTGTTAGTTTAAGACCTTTAAACAGCTAGAAGTGCAAAAGTCCAATGATTAGAAAATTCTTACGAAAAAAAAACGTATTATTCATTGTTTAAAATGAATGTCTAACTAGATTATCCATCGTAATAGACTAAACTTTGAGACTATTCTTCGTTTTAAATAAATGTGATTTCTAGTTGTTTACCTGAGATGCTGCTCACCATCTTGAGTTTCCCGTACAAGTCCTATAAAATCAGATATAAGTTTGTCATAAATTTTGATTCTACACTATTCTCTTTTTTTTCATTACAAGACTTTTTCTACAAGTGTTATTTTCTATATTATTTTAGATAAATAATTTAGATTTAGATAATTTGTTAATGATATAATTGTGTATGACTAAGTTCTAAATTTCAATATCTTTTAAATATTATGAGGTATGTATTTTTATTGCATTTATTTCTGTAGTTATATGTGTACTATAAAAAATGATAAAAAGAAAAGAAAATCAATATATTGAAAAAATTAGAATTTTCTCATCACTTTCATATATTTTTTAAAAATAATATGTTGTTGTTTTGTTAATGTTTTAGTGATAATAATTAAACAATGACGGAAAATATTCAAGAAACGGTAATTTATTTTTTGTTTTTAATTAGAAATTTAGAAATAATAAATTTATTTACTTTTAGATCGTCGAATTACTCAATCAAGCATCATTATATGGAAAAGATAGTCAACGTGTACAACATTTACGCCATGTTCAAGAACTTATACTACGAAAAGATCCGAGTTTATTAGATAATTTTCTTGAAGTAAAGAATTTTTCTATTTTTTTTTTCAATTTTAGAATCTTAAATATATATATATAGATATATAGATTGTTTTTTTTTTGTCTAGGAAGTACTTGTATTTCAAACCGATAGATCTGCTGAAGTGAGAAAAACGATAACATCATTTATAGAAGAAGCATGGTAAGTAAAAATATTTTATTATTTGTAACATACAAACTCTATATTTTTATTTTTATTTTCTGTATTTAGTCAACATGATCCAGAAGTTATTGTTAAAGTAATCGATGCTTTACGATTTTTATTATATGATGATAATGTACTTGTACAGAAAAAACTTATTGTGGCTATGGTATCAATATATAAATCAACATTGAAAGTAAATTAATAAAACAAAAAATGACAATAAAAAATAAAAATGTATTTATTATTTAGTGGTTATCAAGGTCTCGTTTAATCGATGAGAATGTTCGTAGTATGTGGGAAAGTATGATTAATATGAAAAATCATATAATTAGTTTATTAAAATCAGATAATGATGGGTATGTTATTAGACTTTGTAAAATTTTTTTGAGTTTGAAATGTGTGACTCCCTCTCTCTCTCTGTCTTTTTAGTCTTCGTACGGCAGCAATCAAATTTATTGAAATGCTCGCTTTAGCACTGTCGAAAAGAACAGCGGTAAACAATGTCTATGTACATATATATTGCAAGTATATTAAAGAATTATATCTATTTTATAGGATTCTATTGTACCTCAATCAAATGATCAAGATATTTCTGTTAATGTTATTCAAGATGATCATCGTATTTTAAAAAAAGCAAAATTAGAATTAGAAGGAAAAGATGTTATGGAAAAATTACTTGAATTTACATTATCACAGCATTTATCAAGGTAAATTGAAACGTAAATAGTTATTTTATTTATTTTTTATTCAAGAGATGTTTAATTTTATTATTTAGTGTTAATTTAATATCTGCCATGGGTGCTATAGCTAATATAGCTCGTCAACGTCCTGATTATATGAGTCGAGTAGTACAAACATTTGAAGCATTGCAAGGTCTATTTAACATCAACTCTTCTCTTGTTACTTTAATTATCTTTTTTCTCCATTATTATAGTCAATCTGCCACCGACATTGGTAGATTCACAAGTTAGCAGTGTAAGAAAAATTATAAAATTAAAACTTCTTAGTCTACTTAAACATCCAGCATCGCTTGCTTTCCATCCACAAATAACAACGTTGTTAACCGATTTAGGTGCAACTCAAGCAGAAGTAAATAAAATTTATTTTATATTATTAAATTTATTTTATTTATTTTATTTCATTTATTTTGATAGGTTTTGAAACATTTACCAAAAGTAACATCAGAATCGAAACGTAAATTGACATCCGGTGGCAGTGAAAATATTGCAAAAAAATCTAAATTGTTGCTTGTACGTATCATATATTTTTTTGATAATGTGTATGAAATGAAGATTCTTTGAATTACACAGGATGAACCCAATTCTTATACGTCATATGACATTGATGATAGTTCTAATATGAGTAACAAAATTTCGAATACACAATCGGCAACATCAACGACAAATCCGAATCATCAAAATACAGCCATTGATATCACGGCGGCTGATCTTATTGGAAAATTGAATATCACAAATGTTGTTGATTTAGTTTTAGTTAGCATGGTAAAATCAAATGATTAAAAGTTGTTTGATTACGTCTTTAAAATTTACCCATTTTTTTATCAATCTAGCTTACGTTGCCTGAAAGAATGCCTGCCTCCTTCCAAGCCACATACACACCAATAGCAGCTGCCGGTACACCAGCTCAAATTCAACATTTAGCACGATTATTGGGTGCACAATTGACAGCTGCTGGCTACGGCAAAGGTTACGAATTGATGAAATCTCAACAGGTTAATTAAGAAAGTTTCTCAAGTTTTTATATATTTCTTAATGTTTATTTCTTCAGACAACCAAACCTGCTCAATCTGATGATGATGTCAGTGATGTAAAACCAATAACAAGCATCATGGGTAAGTATGCTAGTGTTGACCACCTTTCGCTGTTTTTAATCGTACAAATGTCTTGTAGGTGTTGGGCGTGATGATGCATTTCCGATTGATTCAGATAAACCGAATATGAGCGGTTTGCCTATTTCTGTCATCGGTAGTAGCAATGTTTCATCATCTTCAACATCAGTACCGAGCACAAGTACATCAGTATCAAATGAGGGAGTCCTATCTGAGGCTAGTTCATCTGCTCTACCAGCAACGACGACGGCAAATACTAGTACAATGCCCTCTACTACTGTACAACAGAAAAAATTTAAACCATTTAAACTGGCTGATGCTATGAAACCAATTGAATATGAAGAAATGCAAAGAATGTCAACTGATGCATTTTATAGAATTCTTCATGCTGAAGGTAAGATATATATATATATTACTTTCGTTTTTTTTATCAAGGTTCTCTTTGATATTTTTTAGACGTTTGTGATCGAGCTGGAGTGGGCCATGTGAGAAAGAAAACAATGACATCGTTGGTTTGTTTAAGTGAAAGAAGTTTTCGTGATAGTAAGTTTTTACGTTCAATAACTTGCTTTATTCTCGTATAGATTAAGGTATTTCAAGTATTTTCTCACTGTTTTGTTGGCAACCAACGTTTTGCGGATAACTTATAATAGAATTTAAGAAATCTGAGATCCTTTTCTACTGCTACGCTCTTCTTTTATCAACTTAGAAAAGACTCTATATCGACTCGCATTGAACAGGACTGAAAAATTTTAGTCCATACGGAGCTCTGGCCTACACTAACTAAGAACTAACGAACACAAAATTCTTGGTGGGTTTTCTGGAACCACAAAAACTTCTAGGTTTATATGAGAAGAGCCTAGTAGCATGGAGTAATAACATCCGTTACAAATAAATACTAAAAAACTGAACCAGAAAAACAACTAACGGAGAATTTTTCCTTAGATTTTTCTATCAATGTTGATTTTGTTTGTTTTTTTATTAAGTACTGTGAGAGAGAAGAACAGAAGACTTGTGTATTTTAACACTTTTTTTTATTCTATCTATTTAGTTTACGAAGATTATATATTTGCTGATGTACGTAAACGTCATGATTTAGCATTTTCTTGGCTCTATCAAGAATATGCATATGCCAGTGGTTATTTAAGTGTTTTGGAGCCAAACAAAAAGAAGGATTTTTCAAAATATGATGATACACTATGCCGACTATTAGAATATTTACAAGAGAAACCAGATCAACGAGACGGGTATTTGTTTTCATGCAATTATCATCTGTTTGAATATAATTCGCTTTTTTTGTTTTTCATATAGTTTATTTTCACGATTATTGATCAGTGCACCACTGATAACAGATAATGCACTTCGTGTACTGAAACGTTATTGCCAAGATGAAGTAAGACATTTTTTTTCATTATTAAGAAAATTATATTTACTTTATGTTTCAGACTCGTTCCTATATTGGCATGAATACATTACGTGATCTTATATTTCGTCGTATGACAATGAGAGATAAATTTCTTGAAATATTACTCGATTTTACTCATAACGATATTGTTGCTGTACGAAATAATGCTATACGTATCAGTAAAAGTTTACATGAAAAAGAAGAGTTTAAACAAGCAATTGAGGTCAATAAAACGTCTTACTAACGACTATTATTCCGTTAATTATATTATTTAATTGATTCTTTTAGAGACATGCGTTAAAATTTTTGAAACATCTTACATCAGCCCGACCGCCTGAAGCGTTATTTAGTGATGAAAAGAAAAATTCAAATGGTATGTGTCCATTTACATTTTACAAAAATAATTGTTTTGATACTAAATTATTTATTCCTCTTATTCTAATAGATGCATGGACAGAAGATTCAATACGTTTATGTTTACCATTGTATCTTGGTTTAATGCCATCCAATCATAATCTAATACAACCGTAGGTTTATTTAACGACTATATGAAAATGATATTACAAAAATTATTTTCTATTATTTTTAGTTTGGCTACAATTTATACAGGTGTCAACGGAGATATCAAACGTGTAATACTTCGTGTTCTTGAAACGCCTGTAAGTTTGTTGTTTCTCACGCACGTTCAATCAGTCTTTCATTTTGGATTTTTTTGTTTTTGTTTAGGTACGTGGGATGGGCATGAATAGTCCAGAAATTTTAAAACTTGTCGAAAATTGTCCAAAAGGTGCTGAAACATTAATAACACGAATAATTCATATACTAACAGAACAAAGTATGTAATTAACAAAATTTTATACGTTAATTTCTTATTGTTATCGTTATTTGATGTACTTAGCACCACCATCACGAGAACTAGTGGAAAAAGTGCGCGATTTATATCACAAACGTGTATCCGATGTACGATTTTTAATACCTGTTTTGAACGGTCTTGAAAAGGTATATATTCTTTTTTTATTGACATTATTTTGTATGTATAGTTGTCAATTGTTTTCATAGAAAGAGATTATCAATGCATTACCAAAATTAATCAAACTTTCATCGATGGTTGTCAAAGAAGTTTTTAATCGTTTATTAGGACTAAATGGTAATTATTTGTCATCTTCGGTTTCTCTTATTAAAAATATTTTTCGCTCAATATTTAGCATCAGCAGAAACGTATGCAAGTCCCATCTTACCTTCTGAATTATTAATTGCCTTACATCAAATATCGCCTGAAGACTGTGAATTGAAAATAATAATGACTGGTATGTGACTTAAAAATGGCAACGTACGTACTCTTTTAAGTATGATATTTCTTTTTTTAGCTACATCGTTGTGTTTTAATGAACGTACGATTTATACGCATGATGTATTAGCTGTCGTTATTCAACAATTAGTTGAAATAAGTCCCATACCAGTTTTGTTTATGCGAACGGTTCTCCAAGCATTAAGTTTATATCCAAAAATGGTTGGATTTGTAATGAATATCTTACAACGTTTGATTACAAAACAGGTATGTTTCATGATATCTTCTACCTATTATATGTTTTATATTCTTTTTGCGTTGAAGGCATGGAAACAAGCGCGAATATGGGAAGGATTTATTAAATGCTGCCAAAAAACTCGTCCACATTCATTCCCGTTGTTATTACAATTACCACCACCACAACTGAAACATGTATTCAAAATAGCATCTGATTTACGTGATGGTCTTATACGACACATACGTTCATTGTCCATAGCACAGGTAAACTAAGCACATTTGTATGTTTTTTTTTTGTTTAATCACAATAGTTTCACTTGTTTATAGCGTTCAAGTATTCCATCATCAATAATGAGTGTGATTGAAGATAATTCGGAGAATAATACCATCGCTTCCGGAACAACTATATCAATTCAACCACCAGACATTCGCATTCAGCCAACAACAACAGTAAACGATATTGCCACTATACAACAACAGCAACAACAACAACAACAAAATGTTGAACCTGTTCATTAAATGTTATTTTTTTGGTTATTTTTATTAGTCTCACTAGTCAAAATTTGTCTGTTTTCCTTCTGTTTTTTTTTATTACAATTAAGGGCTATACTCTCTTTGGCTCTATTTTGCTTTCATGGGCCTTTCAATTTTATTCTCTACTTCATTCAATAAGAAAAAGTGACCTATTTACTATAATCCACAATTTATCGTTGTGTTATGGTTTCATTGTAAGAAAAAAATCCAGAAACTTGAAATAATTCTTTTATATGTGTGAATGTGTTTTGTTTCTTTTGTACTTTTGTCATTCATCTGGGTTTTTTTTCTTGTTATTTTTGATCAAATACGATTACAAGATAATATAAGTATATACGAAGCAAAAACATGAACATAATATTGTTGTTTTTATTCTTTGGAAATCTTATTAGGAGGATGATGATACTTTACTCTTCTTCTTTACTTAACTTTACTTTACTCTAATAAACATAAAAAATTATTTTTAGATAAGAAAAACAACATAAGTGAAGAATGTCAGCTATAACAACATTAAATCCAAAAGCTGAAAGTGCTCGTCAAGCACAAGCATTAGCCATTAATATTTCGGCTGCAAGAGGTCTAGCCGAAATGTTAAAAACAAATCTTGGTCCAAAGGGAACGATGAAAATGTAAATGAATAGGGAACTTTGTAGCATCTAATCTTTATCTTTTTTTTTTGTATTTTTTATTTAGGTTAGTATCAGGTGCTGGTGAAATCAAAATAACGAAAGATGGAAATACTTTACTCCATGAAATGGTATTGAAATAGTTTTTGATTTGTTTTTTTAACTTTAATTCAAATGTTTTAATATTTTTTTGTAGCAAGTTCAACATCCAACTGCATCATTGATCGCTCGAGCCGCCACAGCTCAAGATGATATTACCGGCGATGGTACAACAAGTATCGTGTTATTAATTGGTGAATTATTAAAACAAGCTGATCTTTACATTAGTGAAGTAATAATGAAAAGTTGAGATGAGAAATTTGATAAGAGAAAATATTTGTTTTTACTATTTAGGGATTACATCCTCGTATTGTTGCTGAAGGTTTTGAATTAGCCAAAAAAGAATCATTAAATGTGTTAGATAAATTAAAAATACCGCTGAAAACAAATCCAATAGATCGTGAAATTTTAGTACAAATCGCTCGTACATCACTTCGTACAAAATTGACACTGGAAAATGCTGATCTTTTGACAGAGGTATGTATTATGTTCAATTCTTTCAAAAAACAAAAATCTTATTTACTCATTTATTCTATTGATTTTAGATAGTTGTAGATGCTCTACTTACTTTGCATGAGGATGGTAAGCCAATCGATTTGAATATGGTTGAAATAATGGAAATGATGCATCGTACAGAATCTGATTCACGACTTGTACGTGGTATTGTCATGGATCATGGTGGCCGACATCCATCAATGCCAAAAGCTTTGAAAAATGCTTATATTTTAACATGCAATGTTTCGCTTGAATATGAGAAAACGTAAGAATGATCACTAGTTTTTTTAACACATTTTGTAAATGTTTATGCGTACGGTTTTCAGAGAAGTGAATGCTGGATTTTTCTATAAAAATGCTGAGGAACGCGACCGTCTTGTTTCATCAGAAAGAAAATTTATTGATGATCGTGTTCAAAAAATACTTGATTTGAAGAAAAAAGTTTGTGGTGATGATAAAACAAAACATTTTGTGGTTATTAATCAAAAAGGTATTGATCCATTTTCGTTGGATGCATTGGCCAAAGAAGGAATACTCGCTTTAAGACGTGCTAAACGACGAAATATGGAACGTTTAACACTAGCATGTGGTGGTGAAGCAATGAAGTTAGTAATATTGAGAAAATGTCTTGATACTATGAGCTAATGGATGTGTTTTATTTTATAGTTCGCTTGAAGATTTAACGAAAGATTGTTTAGGTTATGCTGAAGACGTTTATGAGCATGTTTTGGTAAGTCGATTAATCAAACATATTCGTATGAGCACACATGAAGTTGATCAAAAGTAGCCGTTTGTTGTTCACGTTCGTCTATTGCTAAAAAAAAATATTCAAAGTTATCTGAGAAAATGAAAGTCTCACAACACTAGACTTTTTTTGCAGTTCTTAATTGTTCTATTTTTTAGGGTGAAGAAAAATTCACATTTGTTGAAGGATGTAAAAATCCAAAATCTGTAACAATTTTACTCAAAGGCAGTACAAAATACATCATGAATCAATTGAAAGATGGTGTTCGTGATGGTTTACGATCTGTGGTTAACGCAATCGAAGATGGTAAGTATAAACGTTGTTCGGACGATATTACAATAATGTATAATTTATTAACATAAGGTTGTGTTATTCCTGGTGCCGGTGCGTTGGAGATTGTTACCCATCAAGCTTTGACACAATATAAAGAACAAGTGAAAGGTCGTGCACGTCTCGGTATACAAGCGTTTGCTGAAGCCTTATTAATAATACCAAAAGCTGTAGCACAAAATGCTGGACATGATCAACAAGATACAATTGTTAAATTACAACATGAATATGCAAATTCAAAAATGCCTGTTGGTGTTGATGTTACATCAGGTGAACCAATGGATCCCAAATCGGCTGGCATCTACGATAATTATCGTGTTAAAAAACAATTAATACATTCAAGTACATCAATAGCAACAAATCTCATTTTGGTTGATGAAATTTTGCGTGCGGGTCTATCATCGTTAAGACCAGGTGCTCAATAATACAATAACTTTTTTAGGTCATTTTTTTCTGTATGGGTGATCGAATGAGAATGAATGACGAAATACAACAAAAAATAACAAAACAAAACAAAACAAATCCGTAGGATCAATTGACAAAGACGTAAACAAGACTCATTTCAAAAAATGTGCTCGAGTTTCGTCGTCTCTTTTTGTGTGTTCATAACTGTGGATGTTTTTTACATTTAAATAAAACCCCTTTTTGTTTGATAAGTTTAGTACAGTTCAATGTCATATTGATATCCGGATGTTCGAAACTTGATATTTCAATTCTTATTTCTTCCGCTTGATGATCAGATCCAAATAAATGCCTTGAATAGCAACGAATATGTTGTTTTTATACGTTTGAATAGAAATTCATTGAGAACGAACAATTTATTACACATCCGCTATTAAGCGCTAATGTGTTTGAACTTAAAGTTGACTAATATAAATGCATACAAAGTAGAAATAGTAGTACTTGTATAATAATTCTTTTTATAGAGTTTAGATTAGTGAAATAGGATCATTTAGTAGAGTGTCTATACACCTGTTCAATCAATGTGTTCATTCAATCAATTTCCGAGACGAATCAGCTCTTTGTTGATTGCTCTCATGCTATGGATTACCATCTTTGACCAGCAAAGTTTACTCGTGAAAATATAATCTAGATATTCGAAGTATTTTATCTGTTTTAGTATTTCATCTTCTAACTTAAGGGTAATTAATTGTTGGTCGACGAAACTGAGTGAAAAATATCATAAATTCTGACTTATTTTTACATTCATCGACTGTTGACATATTTGACAATAAACTGATAATTCCTAAAAGTATTTTATGGAAATTATGCTGACTTTTTTCCTGTAACCAAATAATCATTTGATTCTATTTTAAATGTACTGGTGGCGTCAAAATCATATTTAAATCATCTGCAAATAAATGATGTTCAAATGGGTGAAATAAAGTAGGCATTTTGACATGAATCAATATGTACAGTAATGAGCTAACCACTGATCCATGTGGTGATCCTTTCTCCATTTTGATGTTAAATTAAATGATTTTCCATCGAAATAAATGAATATTTGACGATTCATAAACCAATTGTATATCCATTTCATGTACTGAATAGAAACATTCAACTCAAATAATCTAACACATAATAAGCCAGGGTTCATTTGACCAAATGCATATTTAATTATTAAACTCGAAGCTCTTGTTCCATACCGATCCTAAACTTTTAGGTATGCGTCTTTCTCACGATATGCAATGGGAAACACATATCCGCGGAGTAGCAACATCTTGTCGGAAAATGCTTGGTGTTATTAATCGAGTTTTCGGAGGAGCATCTCAGTCAATTCGCTTAGTTTTATATCTTACTTGCGTTTTACCTTGCTAAGAATTTCCTTGCTAAATTGACTTCTAGGTCTCTCCGAGCAGCGCATTCTTATATGGTCGACATACCCTTCACTCCTTTCGAAACTGTCCAGTCATCCTTCTTTTGGAGGACTGCAAAAGACTGGAATACTAAAGATCTAGAAAAAGTCGTTTCCATAAATTCTCTCAAAACCTTTAAAAAGGCTCTAAAAGAACATCTTCATCTTTAGTCGTTCTCTGTTTTCAAATCTTTGTTTTTCATTATTTGTAAGCAAGATGAGTGTAAGTTCCTACTGCACCAACAACCGATGATATTTTTTCTTCTAAAGGTAATGTAAAATATCGTCGTACTTGATCGAAAGGATTTTCTGTCACGTATGATGGAATGCCATAATTTCTCAAATAAAAAAATGCCACTTGACGACAAGCACTGCCAATTTCTTCGGCAACTTGAGTTTTCTCTTCCAAAGTGCCATTTATAAACGAACCAAAATCAATAACTGGAATTTCAGTAAAGGCTGATGTCCTTGTTTCTTCTGTGTTTTTGTATGATCAATCTGATACGTTACTATCACTTGCCTTTTCCGGATCTTTATGGCAAATAAATAATTTGTAGCTTCGCCAAACAGAAAGAATACAAGTTTGATCACGACTAAATACGCTTTTATGCTTTTTCACTAAGGTTATGGTGATACTGTTTGTCTAAATGAAGATAATTCAAAACGTGGAAATATCTGTTCGAAACAAGTTGAGGCATGCATTTAGACAGGATAATTAATAAAGTGGAGCACTAAAAATAAAGTTACGAAAAGAAAAGAGAAAGAAAGTTGTACATATCAGCCATACACGTAAGTTACTACCTACGTTATTCAAACTTAAAAGAAAATTCTGAAAACGTCCAGGGTCAGAAAACGGACAGTCAACGGTCACCGTTTACTGACCGTCTGCTAAACGTTTCCAGATCATTAATTATTCACAAAGAAATTCACCGTTGACTTGCCATTAACGGACAGTTAACGGACTGTTTTTATGTCGTTTTTTAGTACTTTATGCCAGAGGAATTTTAGAATGATTTTTCAATGTTTCATGACACATAGAGTACTTCGGGGTAATTAGAGACACTCTTTGAAATTTTCATTCCTTTTTTGCTATTTCTTGGCCGTTTTTGATCGGAAAAACTTGCTATTGAACAGGGTGGTAGACCAAACGTTTTTTCACATACATTCACATACAGGCTCACGTAAAAATCTTTTGAAAATCTTCGATCAGTTTGAGCCAGATCCAAAATGCGAAGAGCTCTATCAAAGTGTGTGACACTTCACTTGTACGCTTGAGATAAATAGAGACACTCCATAGGAATACTTGGAGTTTTAATGTACAATTACTGGTTAGTTAAACTTAGGAAATGACTAGTTCAAAAATACCTCATTTTATAGCCCGGATTTTCCTATCTTTACCATAAAGTTTTGAGCTCATTATCATTTAAACTCATTAAGCTAATTAGCATATAATCAACAGAACTAGAAATTCTCTTTTTTCTTTTTTCATACTTTTCAAACACAAGTTGTGATGTTCGAATCTCGGTATTTTCAAGTAAGCAAAAATATTTATAGTGTTGTTAGATGATGTGTATAGTGTAGTGCGTAGATTAAGTCGATTAGTGAGAAAGGGTAGATTCGAGAGATAAGTCAGAGAAAAATTTTTTAATTTTTTTTAATATAGTAGCCTAAGTCAAAAAAAACGGCCGTTAACGTTCTCAAAACGACAAAAAAACGGCCAGTAAGAAAACGTTTACAAAACGATCCGTAAACGGCGAAAAAATGGGCTATTTAAGACCCTAAAACGGTACGAGTTTCAGGTTCTGAAAACGGTCCGTTACGGCACATTAACTTACTGTTAATGGTGCCGTTTTCTTGGACCTGGGATAGTCCTCCCAGATAAAAGTAGCGATTTGAGATAATAAAATTAAGTTCCCCATCATGGACATACCAAACAAAAGCGGTTGAATGTTTTACTCTAAAAATTAGTATTTCTCAATGACTAGAAACTCAAAGACTATTTAAGAATAGACAAAAAACTACTTGGCCCCATAGTTTTGGACTTTTATTACAGATGCTTAGAATTATTAATTAGTACACTAAATTCTTAAACATCTTCTGATTGCGAGTCTTTTGAGTGTAAGGCAAAAAGAACCAATATATATCACCTCACCCCGTTACAACAGGAAGATAACGTCGACTCTTTATAGAAAAATATGTTGTTTCATTTTCTTCATACTTTTTTATCAGAAAATATTTCGACTTTTTTGGAATTCTGAATTGATTAAAAACAGATTCTGATAATGTCAATACCTCGGGTCTAGATGTGATATTCGACTTGCATTGAGAGATCAGACTTCGAATCGAGCGACCAAGAAGCTTTCAAATTAGTTGGAAATCAGTCAGTAAGAATTAATCGGTCCAAGAGTTTGGCAATTAGGAGGAAACAAAGCACACAGGTTATATATACATATACGGAAACATTCAGAGATAATCAAATAATTAAGAGGAATAAACGCTGAGGAAATGCTATTCGATTTATGTAACCATGACCGATGCTCTACTTTACAGACATCCATCTAGTTTCCAATTCTCCAAGAATGCCACTAAATGCTATTAAATTCCTAGGTCTCGAGTGTACCCGCATCGGCTTTAGAGGTTCACAGTTTAAATATTATTTAAATTAGAAAATCCGTAAGCATATAGTCCTTTATAGCAAGTCAACCATAGTAAAATAATTTAGTGGAAACTGTATATTGTTTCTGAAAACCATCTCTTCTACTATACAGCGTACTATCCATGCGTTCTTTCTTTTACAAGGTTGTTGTATATCGTAGCCACAGATGATGATTCGATCCAGTGTTTTCTCCTGAAGTTCCAGTGCCTTTTCATGATAACTTAAGGCCTTTGAGTAGTCGCCCATCTTACTGTAAACCCCTCCAAGATTGTCGTATGTCGTGGCACATCTGGATAGTTCAGACCCAGTGTTTTCAATCTTAACATTTGACCTCAACATTTCACTCGCAACATTTGAGAAGTATATAGCGACGCAGTGAGCTAATATCTGACTTTGAAATCAACCAGATTAAATTTTTTACCGTTTACCTTGATGATCGAGTGGTTCAGTACCTACTTGTATTCAGGAAGATTCTATCTTGCTCTTGTTTGAAAGGTAGTCCCAGCTGTCTTATTAATTTTTCGACGCCAGCGAATTTCGCTCTAATCGACCGCATGTATTTCGAAAATTTAGTTTCGAAAATCAAATAGTGAACAGTAGAGCGTCTAAAATATTAGACAACATGTTAAGCGACTGTCGGATTTTAACTATCCGTTTGAAATGGTCAATGAATAAGATAATATTAACTTGTTTTTAGCCAAACTGTAGCTTGGATAACGCTCTTAAGTAAGGCAAAGAGAGTTCTGTATGAAAAAAACTGATAAATTTCTATGTAGAACTTTGGAGCTATAAGCTGGTTTTTCAGAGATCCATTTAGAAATTCTCGCAAAGATCCACGCAAAAATTTTAATTTCTGTATATTATTACGTGCCCCGGTCTTGGCTACTTGATGGCGAAAACTCGATCTCGAATCATTCCGTGCTCGAGTTATTCATGTCGCAATCACCCACACTATATTTTGAAATGGATAGTAGTTACCAAAAGTATCCGAAAGTACTTAAAATCGAATAAAAATACTTCTCTACTATTCACGAAACCGTTTTAGGGCAAAACGAAAAATTTTGGTTGAGCTTTTTCCATTAAAAAATTATTGTTCTAATCATGATTGGATGCAGCTTAATGAGCTGATTTTGATTATGTAGCTTGTGTTGATTGAAAATGCCTCTTAAATGATTAAAAACAGGGTTTTATGTAAATACCAAAAGGTTTTAGAAAACTCATCGTAAGGCTCACGAACATTGTGCGCATTTGTACTAACACTTTTGATGACTGGACTCATTCCAGTCCACATAGATATACGTGTGCATCTTTTAGTCCACTTAGATGAGTTAGGCTATGGAAAGAAAAAAAAGACAAACAAAAAGGGGAATGTGTAAAGCGACATCTATGTTTTTAGAATAATACTAATAGTGAAATCACAGGATTAAATGACTCAGAAGAGATATACTTTTTGTTCTCGACTATTTGTATCGGTTTTCTCATGTATCTTTTTATAGTAAAACACGAACTTGTTATTTAGTAGTTCTGTTCCTAAGACTTATTGAAAAGTAGAATTGGATAATGGACCCGTATAGCTTTTGGTCTGAGCAATTGACCAAAACCTCTACAAGTGTTCCACATCCTAACGAAACTGAAGCCAGTGGCTTAGATTTATCGAAAAATGTTGTACCATTTCGTATTCTGATTAAATCTCTCGAACTATTACCATCAGCAGTTTCACCGGTATGCGTGCTTTCAGAAATGTAAAGATTATTTTAACTAATTATTTTTTTAGTCATTACTCGCACCATATGAAGTACAGTTCCATGCAACACTATATGATGGATTATACAAACGTTTTTACGGACAAACGTGGCTTAGTCAATGGCACAAAGGAAAACTCATAGATAATTTCTTTCGTGTTAATTTCCATGAAGTAAAAACTGTTTTTTTTTAATTATAAAAAAAAATGCTGTCTATTCGTAATATTTTATTTAAGCCGTTATATTTTCATATACCAATATCCGATGAACAAAATTGTTTGGTTCTGGAATTTGTATTTCGTTCGGGCGAAGAAGGAACAGATCGACAAGAACGTACTGTTGGATGGACAACAATTCCTACACGTACGCCAGTTGACGATGACTTAAGACCAATTAGCATAAAGTGAGATATCGTCGTTCATCTTTTTTTAAAAGAAACTAATGTTATTTTATACTTCAGATGGAGTTTATACCATGGATCTCCGCGAGCTCTCATGTTTATGAATGAACCTGTAGAAAGTAAAAGAATTGAATTCACAAAGAACGTTAATCATACAAAAAAATTTTAATATGATTTTTAGGTAACCAGAGAGTGTTAGCAGTCAGTTCAGCTACATTATTTGTAGAAATCAGACATCATCAAGCGCTATTTTCTGTCATTCAATATTTACCGGAATGTACGATATTCGGAAAAGGAAATACGATTGGTGGTATTGAATTTACAAACGAAGGATGTTAGTACTCTAATATTTTGCATACAGTTACCTTGTACTCTACTATGTTTTCCTTGTTAGTTAATGACGCATTGAAACAACCTCAAATTCATTCAAAGCGGAGAAATATTATCATTGAACATGTTGAAATTGATATTGAGCCATCTGTCAATCGTTTTGAAGATGAATTATGTTTATTATTGAATAAAGATCGGATTTATAAACAAGATTCGTCACCGCAAGAAACTCGAAAAATCTCTATAGTTGAACGTCGTCTGCGAGTAAGACAATGTTTTATTCAACTTTAATAAAATTATATTTAGTAGTCTTGATGTGAATTTTTTCAATCAATTTTTATTAAGTATAGAAACTAGGCTGACCATTTTAAGTTCTAAGTATGTTGTGTACATGTTCAAGTCTTTATTTTTCCCGATGGATAGGTCGGTGTTCATAATGGAAAGTGTTACGTTCATGATCCATTGATATTTTATCTAACGATTGATCAGGAAGACAGTGCTTTGGCATTATCGAGAAAACTTAGTTTCAAACAATCACAACGTCGTCGAACAGTGTCAGCAGAAAGGCAAGCATCAATTTTGAGTGTACTATAGATTTGTCTAAACTGTTTCTTCTATTCTAGCCAAGGTCAAGATATTTCTCAAAAAATCTATTTAAGAAATCCCATTCGACTCGATGATGTTGCACTTGATTCACAAAATGCAATTGTTTTTGTGTTAGAATATATGGTGTCAATTCCGTTGGACAAGCAAAAAGGAAAAGAGGTAACTAGTAATTATTGATGTTGCTATAGCAATAATTGTGAAAGATGGTGAATGGTCGTTATTTAGAATGAACCAAATGAAGATACCAAAACAACATTTACTATTCGTTGGGCTGTGTGGTTTCCGGGTAAAGATAAACAAGTATCATTAAATTTTAATGGTGGACAAGTTCTACTGACTGATGAATTATTTGTTTATAAACCCTCGAAAACCATATTAAATTCACCTGACATTATTCGTGAAACATTAAAATTTGATTATCGTTTTGATGATGAGGTAATTCATATCAGCTTATAAGCATTATCTTCTCTATTCTTTTCTATCGTTATAGCAACCAATGAGATACCCAACAGTAACGTCAAATCAAGAGTTAAAATCGGTAAAACGAGACGTTTCAGGAAGGTATGTTTGTCCAATAATTTTAATTAGTAATAATCGTCGTTTTGCTAATTAGACTAGCTATATCATTTGAAGATGACCAGCGATCACAACTTGACACAACACAGAGAAGTAGTAAGTATTATCGTCTTTGTAACTAACTACATTTTAAAGAAAATTTTCAATTTTTTCTAGTTGTACCAGCAAGAACAATTCCATCTGCATTCCAACCACCTGTTTATCATCCAAGTGTGAGTTATACAGCATAATGGTGATCACTATTCATTATATCTTTCCTATTTTCAGAATCTAATTCCATGGAATGTTGGTAATTCTTATCCATCATTTTCTCCCATGTTAGCATTGGCCGGTCAAATGAACTTGTAAGAGTCAAATAATCTTCTCGATTTTAATTAAATGTAGACTTAAACTTTTATTTTTTTTTCCTCACAGTGCACATTCTTTGTCAAGAGCAACTTATGCAAAATTACAAGGAGAAGTAAATATCCGTTTTTTTTAGTCTTAATAAAATTATCACTTATTTTCATTAATTATTAGAAATTTCCAATGATTACCTATATTAATGGTAAACCAGCTGAAACAATTGATATACGTCAGCCAAAATTTATGAACATTCAAACAGAAACAAGTGATCCAATGAATTGTAATGAAATTCATTTACATTTTCTTGCTTATCAACGGTATTATTACTTTTTCACTTTGTTTTTCTTTTTTTAAATATTTATTTTTTTGGTATAAAGGACATCATCAAAACAATCTCGACGAAATTTTCCACATAATTTATTTTTTACATTCAAATTTTATCGTTTTCCTGAAATAATAACCAGCAGGTAGCAAAAATGATTTGAAATGTTTTATATATTAGATTTATTTTTCTTATGATAGAGTTGCACTTGAACATATGCACGATGATATACCGAATGATCCTAACATTCAATCATATATTTTATGGAGATTAAAGGAAGATAACTCAAAAACAAAAGAATCACCTGGTCTACCAGTAAGTAAATTCGTAATAGAAATAGAAATAGGAATAATATGAAAAAATGAATGTTTAGGTTAAATTTTTAATTGATGGTGGTTTTCTTGGTTCAGATGAACATCGAAATTTCTTTGAGTATATGAATAGTCATGTTTTGTACATTGACGTCTGGGATGGCGATGGAATATTTTGTCTTGGCATTTGTGCACTCGAATTAAAGGTCAGTCTGAGTCAAATAATAGCAGAATAAAAATAAATCATTTTGTTTTTTCTTCAGCATTTACTTCGTGATGGACGTGAGGCAATTCAATCGTTGATTGAATTGGATATTTATTCGTCAGTACCAGTTGAAAGTACACAACCTCCGGAACAAGCTTATCATCAATACGTAAATAAGAAAGAATATTATTCATTTTCTATACTCAAATTTATTTTTCGTTGACAAAAGAGATGATTCTATACAATGGTAGTATATTGATTGACTAGGAATGTGTGCAAAGCTTTAAGATTCTAAAAGAGTTTTCGATTTTTATCAATCTTTACAGAATCTGGCATCTTTTTGCTTCATTTGATCAACCCGAGCACAAAGAACTAGTTAAGTCTGGCATAAAGATTCATTAATAATTGGAGGGTTTTAGTTTCGAAAATATACAATCTGTGCAACAAGATTTGCCACATTCCTAATATTAACTAAACAGATGCTGAATTATCATTTAATTAAAGATTAATTTTTATGAAAACCTGTTAAGATGGCTATTGATTGTATTGTTGACTATACAATTACTTGAGCTACGAAAATGTGTTACTATTTTAGTCTGGCGAAAATCAATTTTCTCTAATTGGTGAAAAATTACAGACGGTGGGAAAATTAATAATGAAAATTGGAAATGTTGGCCAAGTATCTGAACAACCATCAATTGATTCTTTGAAAGGTATTTTCTAATTTTTTACTATTCTCTTTTCTAGCTATGAAAAAAAACAAATTTTTTTTCATCTTCAAAAATAGTACATCATACATTAAAATCACTTCCAACAAATCGTATTGTATCATCAGTTCCATCATTTGATATTATTCAACGACGATTAGGAGAAATATCATCAACAGGATTCAAACAACATAATTTAACTCGTGCGCATCGTCTCGTTGAAAGTTATCCGAATCTTAATTCTGTTTTACATACTCAGGTATTGGTGAAAATACTCGATTGTTTAGAAAATGAATATTTGTACATGTTTTAAATAGGATAAGCAAGCAATAGAAACAGAACGTCTTAGAAAATTATCTCGAATGGAAGCTGTAAGAAAAAAAGTAATAGAAGGTGATGAAACAACATTAACACCATTAACAACGAATAAAAAATTACGTGAATTACGAGAAACTGATTTGCGGTAAGATAAAATCTAAAAAATGTTTATTAAAATAAATTCATTTTATCTTTTTGAAGAACAATATCTTTATACCGTCATCAAACAAAACATGCTGACATCGCTCATCATTTATCAAATTTTATAACAAAAGAACTTCATATATCATTGATGCCGGGTTCTGCCGAATTTTTTGAGTTTGTATTACAAAATCCATTTTCGGAACAACATTCAGTTAGCATTGCATGTAACGATGATGAAATAAGGTAAACTATAAATGTATACTAAAGAGAAGATTGCGTTATTCATACCGAAAAAACTACCATATTTACTGGTTATTTCTTGAATATACGATAGATCACAGTTTCACTTTTGATGTATCACGGGTAAATCAGAAATAACGGTTCTCATAGTGTCTTGCAAGGGATAAAAAAACGGACTTCAGGACGCCTGAACCTCGTGAAGTCCAGAAATCCGTATCAAGTTTTTGACTCCGATAAGATACAGAAAAAAGACTTTGTTAAGACCCTCCCCCAGTCAGAAATCTATCTCTGAAAGTATAAGTCCAATCCTGACCAAAGTTTTAGGAGATGCTGATCTTGTGAAAGTATGGTGCCGAAGTTTTTTGTTTGACTCCATCAAGCATGGTTTGTGAAATGTCGCCACAACAGTGACCAAAATGGGGTTATTTGTAGCTGCAAGATTTCTAAGTAATGAAACGTTGTGGAGACCTCGAGCTAACCTTAATCTAGGCCCAATATAAAACATCGGGCTCTATCAGCCTCTAGCCACATGTGTCAGCTTCAATTTAAAGCCTTTCCGAGTTCTCTGCGATGTTTCGTTACGGAGAAATCTTGCAGTTATGAAATAGTGTTACGGTGAAAACCGCTTTCGAATGGTTGTGTCAGTATCTGATGGATGCTTTAGGACTTCCAGCAAAACTCTCATAACTCTTGATCAGAACATCATTCAGAGCTGGGAGATATCTCATTTTGATCAGAAATGTTTGCTTTATTTCCAGGTATTTTTGAAAGTATTTTTGGGTTTGCTTTTTTATCAGAACGTTAGTCAGAGTCGTGAATTACACAGAATATTCCGTTGTAGAAATCGGTGCTGCAAATACACCAAGAGCTTGTATTAAAGATCGAGTACAGATTTCGTCAAACGAATAATAAACTTTTCCATACGATACCTTAGTAGAACGAGCATCCAGGTCAAAGTAAAATCGCATGCAACATTTCATCTTAAACATCTCCGTTTGATGAAATCTTAACTCAGTCTCTAGTACTCTCTAAAAACGACTCTGTTGCGGACAAAATTCAAATTTAAAGTTTGACCTGAGTTTATTCGGTTAGAATCTAAATAAAAACACAATGCTGTTATTTGATACAGTGGAAGCGAAAAAGGCTTTCTTAAAATTGACTATATATATATATCAACATGTTTAACTCAGGCACAAAAAATCGTTAGAAACGGCAAAAAAACGCGTTTTTTAAAAACACGTTACGAAAGTCCCGTTTTCACGCGTTTTCTCTGAGATACAACGCGTGTAAACGCGTTTCATAACGTTTCTTTCATTTTCCGTTCTCACGCGTTTTTAACAGTTGAAAAACGCAACTAATCATTCACCGTCTTGTTTTGCGGTTAGCCGACTACAAAAACGGTACCCGTGCATATATCTGCTCTGCATCCACTAAGTTCTTTGAGCTTTTTGTATTTGTAAATGATTCTTCGTGAAATTCTCTACAAAAGTCATATCAAACATTTTTTTATGTACCGTAAAAATAAAAGACTATAGATGAAATACTGCAACATCACTTTCTAACCCAAAACACAGCAAGAAATTTATTTTAAACGTAGTCCTAGTCAAAATAGGATGAATCATCATATATATTCCGACACTCCAAAGTGTCATCTTTCTTTGTGTGTGTCAGAGGTTCGCCCTAAATGTGCTTTTCTGGCACAAAAAGCGATTTTACTAAAACTTGCAAAAAAACGGAAAAATTTCACCTAGTCACTGGAAAAGAAATGGAGCTATTGAACTTTCTCTGTTCGAATGTAACGAAAGACTTATTTTATCTTAAGAAAAGGCCTATCAGACCTCAAAGTTAACTATTAGTGTATTACACAATTGTATTTGATGTTATAATGTATCGCTACTAAACCATTGTTCGCTCAAATTATAGTAGAAACGGACTCCGCTTAGAATTACAGAATAATTTCACAGGATAGTGTATATTTGATGTTGACCGATTTATAAAAATTTCTCAAACACTCCCAAAATTTCAGTTTGAAACCGACGACTTTTGATAAAACCAATAAAATAAAAAGATTCTTCCTTAACCATTTGCAATTATGAAGAGTTTTAATTATGATCAGTTAATAGCGCTTCCTAAGGACTGAAAAATGATTATCTCCTCTCATTCTATATCGCAAAATATAAGAGACTAAATTGAAAAACTGTTTTGAGTTAGAAAGTGATGAAGAGTGATGCTTCGCAGTACTTCATCTATAGTCTTTTACTTTTGCGCTATATAAAAAAATATTCGCTATGATTTTTGTAGAGGATTTCACGAAGAATCATTTACAAATACAAAGAACTCAAGGAACATAGGATACAGAGATATAAGCAACATACTGTGAGGATCACTATTTCTGATTCAGTCATTAGACTTCACTAGATTCACAATTTTTCAAGTCATAGTTCTTTCTTTTTAGTGTTGTAACTGATGCTCGTGAATGGCGAAAATTAAAAACAATGTTTGACATTCACTCTGAAACGGAAGAGAGTATGTTCACTCAAACGGACCAAGCTGGGTTGAAATATCCACAAGTATTCATGCGATCAAAAGAAACTATTCACATACCATTTAAAATACAAACATTTCAAAGTGGTATCAAATCTGAACAATATTCACAAGTAAATCGTATTTTTTCATTAATAATATTTTATTTTTTATTTTTTTTGCATCTGTTTATAGAATTCAAATCCGTTTACTCAGGAGCAAATATTTTCTGTAGTGGATAAATCTTTTAATGAGAGATTAAAACCAAAACAAATTAAAGTCAGTCTTTCCTCTTATTCGACTATTCAGCACATATTTATTGATCTTTGTTTTATCAGACTATATTTCAAATAGAAGATGGAACACCGATAGCTATATTATCTATCCATATTGATTATGTCTCACCACTTGTTGATCAAACAATTCGTTATATTAATGGAGAAAATACTTTGATGAAAAGAGTAATTCGAATTCCAAATCCGCGACGAGCAATTGTGTCTGGTTTGTGTTCTCATTTTAAATTTGGAAATAATTTCTAACGTCTCTTTCTATTCAGAATCGATTGTTACCGGTCTAGAAGAACAATTATATCAATCATTTGTAAAACCAAGTGATCCGAATGTGATATGTGATATCAAACCCGTTCCAATCAGTGAACCATGTGATATGCTTGTAAAAGTAAGAAAGCATTATCTGTTTTCTGTTGTTAGGATGAAAAATATCGGACTCGATCATTTTTTGGATAGATGACCAGTTGAGAGTTACAGTTTTCACCATTCGAAAGAGAAAGCGCGGACTCATCTTTTCATAGTAGAAAACAATTAAAATTTTTTGGGAATGTCGAATACTGAAAAATCCAGTGAAAACCTCGTTTGAGAATACTAACTAGCCCAGAGGCGGCGGAACGTTCCCAAATGGGGTAAGGCTTGTTTGAAAAACGTGGCATATCTATATGATTAAAGGATCACTACGCTATTTTGAACAAAAGACAATATATATTTAGAGGTTTCTTGGCGTTTCTGATGCCAAAAGTTAACATTTTATCCTGATCCAGTCCTCTGTCCTCACTGCACGTATCTCATGTTAGTCTCTGCGTTTAAGATCACTGAAAAAAAGCAGAGTTTAATACACGCAGCCAAACGTCTTTTGGTCTTTTATTC